TTTGTGACATGCCTCCACGACTTCAGCGTTTTTTTCTGCGTTTGTTGACCAATAACTTTGATCTTTACTTCGTGCCAGGCAAGCAGCTGCTCCTGGCGGACATGCTGTCCAGGGCGTCACCAAGTGCCGCAGGAGATGTTGAACTCAACGAGGACGTGGAAGTCTATGCAACGAGAATTGTGTCCGAGTTGGTAAGCAAAAAGACCATGGATCGCCTAGCAAAGGAAACTGCAGCCGATCCCAAGTTTCGAGCCGTTATCGACTACTTGTGCGGCAAAGGAAAGCTCGAGGGTCCATTGACACCGTTCGCATCGGAGTTATCACTCGCACAGGGCATTTTATTTAGGGGATGCAAAGTGGTTATCCCAAAGTCATTGAGGCGAGAAATACTCGACCGCATTCATGAAAGGCACTTGGGTATGAACAAAGCCAAAGCAAAAGCTCGACGTCTGGTTTTCTGGCCAGGGCTTAACGGAAACATCGAGAAGATGCTACAGGGCTGTACAGCCTGCCAAAAGTACGCTTATGCGCAGCAAAGTGAGCCGGAAGTATTGAGGCCGACACCGCAATACGCGTGGTACAGAGTTGGAGTCGACATTTTCCAGCAAGTAGGAAGTTCATACCTCTGTGTCTTCGATGCTTTGTCCCATTTCCCAAAAGTAAAAAACTAAAGGACTTGACCGCTATATCTGTAATCGAAAAGCTGAACGCCATTTTTGCTAGATATGGCATCGCAGTAGAAGTTTGCAGCGATAATGGTCCTCAGTTCTCATCCTATGAATTTGCACGTTTTGCCTCCAGATACGACTACCAGCATGTGACATATAGCCCCGGATTCCCTCAGTCCAACGGCCTCGCAGAAAAAAGGCGTTCAAATAGTCAAACGAATCGTGAAGAAGACTGCGGAAACGAAACAGGACTTTTGGCTTGGGATGTTCAGCTTTCGTTCGTCACCCCTCGAAGATGGTCATTCTTCTGGTGAACTCCTCCAAGGCAGACGCCTACGCACTAGACTTCCAGACTTTAGCCACCACTCAAGCATTCCCGTGACTAAGCACAAACAGTCCGACGATCGGGGCAGATGCTTCCCAGCGCTCAAAAAAGGCGAAGTAGGCGTCAAAGACAAGGCATGGACCAGAAAGGTGCAAGTGCTAAAACAAGTGGCACCGGGATTTTACGTGGTGGCCACGGAGGACGGCAGAAGGTTTCGACGTAACCGGCGCCACCTACTGAGGACAGGTGAGCAGTATCGAGAAGACTTTGAAAGTGAGTCCTCATCGAGCGATGAACGTGATGGCCTCGACGAGCCAGGACGGGCTCGGCATGAGCACAGTGACGAACATCGAAAGTCCTGTAACAGATCATCCGAGCAGACGCCAGCACAAGTTTCAGTTCCTAAGCAAGGCGTACTTCTTCCCCTACGCAGGTCTGCTCGGAAGACACGACCACCGGATCGACTACGCTATGATAGTGACTTTAATCAAGTAACTTAAGTGGATGTGTTTTCCCGCAGGAAGATGTATCGATCGAGCAATGCGTTTAAGTCATGCGCACGCATGCACCACCGTCAACGAAACTAATCTTAGATGATGACCACACGTGGTTATCATGCTGCATACTATATATACGCATTCCTTGTTTGAATAAACGGTCTTTGTTACTGGCTTCCACTCGTCACAGATCTGATACAGTGATAGCGATGTTTGACCACGGCTTTGCTTCAAGGCATTGCCGATTGTCGGCTTCGGCACTCTTAACGAGTTCTTCTTCGGTACCGGTGCTGCCTAATTAGCGATGAGTCAGTTTTTCGCGGATAAGGTTGACTCATAACTGCAGTATGGTCACGTAATCGAGCTTTTCCCAATTATTTGCTTGCATGATGCACCGTGAGGCGACGCTTGTCAAACCGCACTCGCAAACGCGGTCAAAGTAGCGATGGGTACTGGCCAGTGTTCCTGTGTGGCCGTGGCTGGTTTGCTTTGGAAAGGTCTGGCGTCGACTGCACCAAATGTGAGGCTTTGACAGTCCTGGGAAAACTCTATAGTCTGAACCAGCTATGTAGGAGAAACACACGGCTCAGATATACATTGCTAGGCACGACTCTAGCTCGTCGCACTAATCCTAGAAGTGGGAGCTCACGGTGGCCGACTGTTTGTCTGGTTCCTGCAAAACGCACTAGTACGTCACCCACAACAGAAATCGAACATACCTTGCTGCTCAATATTGTTAAAGACGATAGTCTTTCTTGGGAGACTTTGATGCAAAAATTTTGGTCTGTCTGTCTGTCTGTCTCGTCTGTACATTTCTATGTTTGTCCACCGAAAGGATCCCCCAAAAGGTCAAAATCAACCCCATTTGCAGCTCCCACCAATATTGCTCAAGTTTCAGCGCTCATACTTGTGCGATTGTCAATTAAAACGCAATTATTACGCACAACTGAGGCACGAAAACAACACGTCAATATTCTGTACGTGTGTCTTTATACCAGAGAAGGCACACATAAGTAATTCTAAAGACCGTAGCATCATCACATTGCGCTGACAATGCAACGCTATGTAAAAATGAGAGTGTTTCGAACACTTTGCTAAGACAATACGGTGGTGTCACCTGCCCGTCACTTTGCGTTCTACACCTTATCGCCTCCGAGACAGGCGCACGCGCCTTCCTTCGTTTTAGAAGATAACTGCCAGACAGCGCACATGTCTCACGTGCCTTGATGCTCTCATTCGCCTTCGCTCCACGGATCGACACACTCCAACGCAGCACCTCCAGAATACAATTCAGCGATGTTCTCGCGCAGAACATCAAATAAACATTTTGTTCACTCTCTCTAGATGTAGGACTATCGTCTTCCGACGAAATTTCCAGTGAAACCGCAAATACGGGGCCGATTTTTTTTTCTTTATATGAAGAAAAAAACACACCGGCGGCCAGTACCGGTGACGATCATGCCGAAAACGCCAAGTGCATGCGACAAGTCAGACAAGATTCGTCCACCTCGATGGCACAGTGGCTACGTTGCTCGGCTGTGGAGGTCAAGGGATTGATCCCGGCCATGGTAGTCGAATTTTGATGGAGGTGAAATGGCAGAAACCCGGGCATGGTGCTGTGTCAAGTGCTCGTGAAAGAACACCAGATGGTCGAAACTTTTAGAGCCCTCCACTAGGATGTCTCTCATAATCATATATCGGGGTTTTGGGACGTTAAATCCCAGATTATATTACCAATATTAGGCAAGACGCATTTCACACCGAAAAGACGCACACCGCTGGAATGGGAAGCTTGAAGGAAGCAGTGGCAGGATTCCATATTTCATCAAAGTTATGCGCCTTACTTTAGCTTTTATATAATTCTTTTGTCCCCTTCACGCCGTGTTTTACACAGTTTTGGTGATCATCTGCTGTTCGCAGATCGGAATTGCTCGTTAATAGTTAAAGCCCTAGATGTCATATCAAACGCGGGAATCGACCATCGGCGTCAACGAGTCATGCAAATAATCATCACTTGATGAAGACGCCACCGTATGAAGTGACCTTGACGTTCCTGATTGGAAAGACTCGTTACATCACCATGACGTCATCATGATATACTATGCCGTCAAATAACGTGACGTCACGTCATGGCGTCATTGTCGCTTAGTCAAAGGTGGGCTGACCATGGAGGCAGTGCTGAGGTGCAGGAAGCTATGGGTTGGGAGGCTATATATCGACTGAGAGGAGTAAAAAAAAGATGCCTATCGGTTTTGAGTCGTCTTAGGCGAGTGCATGTGAGCATCGCTTGAGTGAGCATAGTCAGTGAAGCCTGGGAGTTTCTGAAAAGGTATACTAGAAACGACGTTATTGCAATGACGTTTCAAACCAGGGCGTGCGTCTACACGTGCTTCGCGCGTTATTCTGTTTAGAAAAAATTTATTGCCACAAACGTCAATAACACTCAACAGAACATTTCCGTCTTAGACATACTCTAACGATGATGACAAGACAGACGTCATTTACATGAACATGGATATGAGATGACGTTGAAAGAACATGTACATTCGATGGTTCACACAAACACAACCACAAAATACTTCAAGGTAAACAAGAGACAAATAAAACATAAATATGTACATTTTGCATATTTACATATTACACATTATAGGGGGGGGAGGACAGCGTGTAAGCGTACGGAGTGAAGGTAGGTATTGCACAACGCAAGCGCCGCATTATCATCTGGTTGTTTATTAGCTTGTACAAGTGTACAAGCAACACGGTGCTTGTGTTATTTTATACCTGCTTTCGTCCCGTCCGTTCGTGCGCTCTTCACAACTGGTCCTTCAATAGAATATGCAGTATACAGACAGCATGGCGCTTGTGTTGCTTATATACCTACCTTAATCTCGTCCCTTCATTCGCTCTTATTAACTGGTCAATTATTAGAATATACATGTACACAGACAACGCGGAGCTTGTGTTGTTTCACACCTACCTTCGTCCCATCAATTTTCGTACTGTTCTCAACTGGTCAATTATTAGAATATACAGGTGCACAGACAACATGGCGCTTGTGTTGTCTTTTATGTATGCCTTCATCCTGTTAATTTTTGCGCTGTTCTCAACTGGTAAATTATAAAATATACAGGTATACGGACAAAACGGCGCGTGTGTTGTTTCATACGTATACTTTCATCCCGTCAATTTTTGCGCTGTTCTCAACTGGTCAATTATTACAATACACAGCTACAGAGACAACACGGTGCTTTTGTTGTCTTATACCTACTTTTGTCCCGTCCGTTCGTGCACTGTTCTCAACTGGACAATTATAAGAACAATCAGGTATACAGCTAACACGGTGTTTTTGTCGTAATATACGTATACCTCCATCCCGTCCGTTTGAGTGTTGTTTTTTTGACCCCTCCCCCCATTACTGTATCACCCACTAACCCAAGTTTCAGTCTTGATTGAGTTTACACAGACTTGTATGCACTCTACGCAAGACAGAAGCATCTAACATGGGCTTACCTGCATCTCGGCAACGGGAAATAGGGAGCCGACCGGCTGGACCAGCCCGATGATGGCCAGACTAGGATGCTTCAAATGAGGCGGGAAGACGTACTTGTAAAGCTGTACTTGGTTGTCCTCCACGGACACAACTTCCTTCGGTAAAAATGGAAACTTGATCAGGTAACCCGTGGCCAGGATGATGTCATCCAAAGGGGTAACCTGAAACAACGTTCGTTCACATCAAATTATGTTGTATCTCAAGTATATAGTCTGCTGTATAGTTGTACCTTCAAATGCTTATACATTTTCTGTTTGGTGTTGTTTACGCGAACAACTTCAACATAAAGGATGGATACTCTTTCAAGTTAAACTTTTAAGAAGAAAACGTTTGACTTACCGTCGTTCACATATATTTTCATCTTTAGTGGACTAGTGATGAACAGTGGGGTTTGTTCAGCTTCGTTGCGCATATGTTTTTGCCTGCTAACTTCTCAACTGTTAGCACCATGCAGTTGTGTTTATATTGATTTGTTAGCACCACCCTAGCGATTCGCTGAGGCCCTGCGCTAAGAGTTGGCTGAGTTCCTTGTCAGGGGTTAGGACTGGTTTAGTTATACACAGCTTCACTGTAAAACTTACACATACCCCAATATAGACGTTTTTTGTGGGTGCCACCGCCTTGCGAACGAGTGGTGCTTTCCTGGTCTGGCAACCCATCTGGCAACCCATCTGGCATGCGGGAAACTCACTGTTCGCATAGAAAGTAAGCGTGCGGCCGCGGTTTTATTGTTCGTCTTTAGTTTTTACGTGGTGAATTTGGACTGAAGTGATGCAGCTTCTTTAGAAAGTTAGTCTATGAGACGTTATGACAAGGTTCAAGCCTTTGAGGGTCAACTGTTTTATTATACGGTGATGCGAACGACTCTGCCTATGTTGATGCAATATATCGACAGCACCGACTTTCTGCTCCATGCACGGTGCAAGAGTACTTTAGGTGAGCGAACGCCGAGACTATCTGCTGCCCAAGAATGTTCTGCTTCGCTAGGAGCCTGGGAGATGGCGCTACAGACTTTGTCCCGGTAAGGTCCCTAGATAAAACATGTTTCCCAGGTAGCATCACTCATTGTTAACGAGCCGTCCTCCTCAACCTCTCGCTTACCCCTCCGTTTCTCTGAAATCCGCGTTTGTGATTGGTGCATTCCTTGCACGTGATTTCGCAAGTGGCTGGTGGTGTTATTTATTATCATGAAAAAGGTTACAAACGAGTACGCATGCACATATGGCTGAAGCTGGATTATCGCCGTGACCAAAGACGAAATCGTAGCCAGGACACAGACTGAAGAGGAGGAGTGCTTTAGTTGGCGCCAAGTCGGCCAAGATGGTTTTGCGGTGCTCGTTCAATGCAATATACGAGTTTTTCAACAATGCTCGGTTGCCGTAAAGCAATTGGAAAACAATTTCGCTTTCTTCGACGTACCTTGTACTATCCGAATGGAAGCACGCCGTGAAGTATAGCTTTGAAACATTTCACGCGAACGCTTTCGTGACTCTGTCGACGCAGGTCAACGCTAATCTGCGAAGTGAGTTTATTTTTCGGATTTAGGGGCGAAGCTTTTTATAGCGGCAGCCCTTCATCCCTCGTAGCCGTTGTAGTATGTATTACATATATTAATGCAGCATTTTGACCTCCAAGGTGGTGCTGGTGAGAGATTTCATCTGTGCGTTGTTGAACAATGAAAAATAGTGCTCAATGTGCATGCCAATGGCTGCTAATGGGGAATGAGAGACAGTAGCATTCGGCTTTTAGTTAACGCACACGCTGCGATCCCCATTAGCAGCCATTGGCATGTATATTGAGCACTATCTGACAAGAAAGTGTTGCTGTGTTATACTCGCTTGGTGTAACCTCCTTAGTTTCAGAAAGGTTTAGTGAGCGTTGAGCCGCAGTGCCATGAATACAATGAACTAGTATATACCATGAACTCGAGGTGGTTAAAGGTGGGAAGTAGACCCGAAGCGCAAGCCGTAAGAAAGTGTGCGTGTGCCACCTCTCGTTTATTCCTTGGAATGTCCGCTGGATGGCGGTGCTTCTAAATGGGGAATATAAGATGAAAAGATGCGAGATGGTGGTACTTGGAGTGTTAAATAGATGGACGAACGAACACACAGATGCATGGATGGACACGTGAACGGACGCAGGAGAGGTTGCATGGACGAATGCAGGGACGGACGCACGAACAGACGCACGCACGGACGGGCGGATGGACGCATGGACGGTCACACAGACGGACGCATGAACGGAAGAAAGCAAGAACGAATGGATGGACGAATGCTTCGCCCTACTCTCCATCATTCGCTCCATGGATATGCTGCCAACTTTTTTATTGAAACTCCAGGAGCGCGTCTAATCCACGTCTAGTGCATGTCAGTTGTTGCAAATACTTGCTCGTATGTACGTATCCAGAGCACCTAGAGCGTGTAATTAACGTACCTTCAGGAACATTTCGCGCTTGACCAGTTGACCAGAACGCGGCATAAACGAGCCAAAACGTGCTGCTTCGGGACATCTCACCAGTATAACTCGGGACTTTTCAGGAAAATCTGCGCACCGCACCAGAATCACCTGGCATCACGAATGTCAAATCGGGCACATTTTGAATAACCGTCATCGTAGGGCTGCTAGTCAAGCGTTCGTACTAGTCTGACCATGGTTCTTCCTTGCGCGTGCACAAGCCAGCTGTAATCACTCCTCACGTCACGCCCTGTGGTCAATGACAGGATCCAGCAAGAAGCGTGTTCTCTGTGTAACGGCACGAACAAAACATATTTGGAGAACTGTACTAGTTATAACTGGACGAACTACGATGTACGACGCGAGACGTCAAGGGTAGAGGTGCAAAATATAGAACTGCACAACGTTGCCAGTTGAGTAACACACATCCCGCTTGCTCTTGTGTTGTACCCTTTATGTTCATAAAGAAAGCATTTATTCTGCGACCCATTTCTTTCAATTTTGTTTCATTTAGATCTATTAACCGTAGCAACTGAACCCAAACATTTGCTTTCGGATGAAAGTTTGGAACCTTCTTGGGGTGCTGCAGTAACATAGGCGACAAAAAAGGAAAGGTGTCGCTACCCTGGAAACATGTTTCACCTATAGGGACCTTATGCCCCGGCTTCCCCTTCTCCCTTCTCGGTGTAGGAAAGTAGCGGTGCTCATTTATAGTTGCTACTACACCCTTGCTACACTTTCAGTACACTCTACATTCCCCGCACTGTCAACCTCCACCCTTACCACCCCCTCTTTCGCGACGCCGCTTTATGCGTACCACGTGGTTGATATCCCACAATTACACGCGGTGTCTTCATATTTGGAAACCGTTGCTCACGTGCCAGATAATCTTTGCGGAAATTTGCAGCAGCCCGCATGCTCCTCAGACCATCGAGCTTCTATCGGCACGCCGCAAACGAGAACATAATCGGTTATTCCCGCCAAGCGCTCGCTTCGCGACGTTCCCTCACCTAAAGCTTTATTGCACCGCGGCTCGAATATTGCGCAGTATTTTCAGGTCTTTACTTTCCAGAATGGGCAACGGCACTTCAAGAGCATAGTGAATGTTTTTCTTGAGCGGTAGTTATCTGCTTCTTTATCAAGATTTCTTTACGTCCAACCGTCGCATCGGCTACCGCTCTTGCATGAAGCCGTGCTTTGAAGGGTAACCTGTGGTTCGTCCTTATTTCACGGCACTGACAGTTTTCTGTTAACTGCGCCATAACTGTTGTCTAACTTGTTTCTCAACTAAGAATTAAATTGATTGATATGTGGGGTTAAACGTCCCGAAACCACCATATGATTATGAGGGGGGCCGTACTGGGGGGCTCAGGAAATTTCGACCACCTGGGGTTCTTTAACGTGCACCCAAATCTGAGCACACGGGCCTACGACATTCTCGCCTTCATCAAAAATGCAGCCGTCGAAGCCGGGAAAACTATGAATGAGTCACCGTATATTACTCGCTCGTTTTTTTTTTTTTTACAGGTCTCCACTTGAATACAGCTATTACATCAAATAACGCTGACGTGCCTGCGCGTCCCATTTTTATCTTCTTTTTTAAATCGTGATATTTGAGTGACTGTTGGTGCCGCGTTACTTCGACCGACAATAGAAATATGTATTATGCAAACGGAATCACCTGGTTGATTTTAATATGGGTGTTCGTGTGAACAATGTACGAGCGAAGTATCACGTCATCATATTTTTTCTTTAAGCAATTTTTAGTACTGAATCCAGGTGAAGAGAAATCGCCCTGTTGATTCTTGAACATGTTTCTGTTTTTCAGTGTGTATAAATTTGCCCTTCCTTGAAATACTTCGCCATATTGTAGGGTAGTTTCTTATTGCTGTAATTCCTTGTTGTGTTTCTTGATGCATATGCCAATATGTCAACCAATGTGTCAACCTAGTCGCTGCATTTATTTTCTTCTGACAATTTTTCTTTACACTAATGTTTTATGCCTTCTTTGATCTAAAATTGTTAAATGATCCGATTCTGTTAGTTTCATTCTGTACTTTATCGCGATGTATGTCTTTATTGTGTACCTATTCGAATTTTTATGTTCACGCCCTTCCTGCAAAAATCCCTGATGGGATTGGCAGTATGTCGAAATAATAATAATAATAATAAAATGTTACATGGGGCTGTTTATCGGGGAAATATTGTCATCGTTGGAATAGGTGAATAGGCTGCGTGCCTTTCGTTCATAGCCAAGGTTGAGCATCGGTATCGAAGTCGTTGCAGCTCGTTCGCCTGAGAAGAAGTGCTCTGAACTTGCCCGAGTACCCACGGAAAGTACAAGGTTTTCCTGTTTAAGTTTGCAAGCCATAGAAGCCGCTGCTCCTCATCAACAGGAAAACAATCCTACTTCAAGAGTCCACAGCCACAAAAACTCCGCGTCTGGTGATGTACACGGCACATTTCTTCCGACAACAGTTTCCTTTTTCTGTAGTTGTAACTGGACCCCAAAACAGCGCAGTGGTTTCCTGGTGAGTAATTTTCGACTGTCATAGTAACGAAGAAAATTCACTGGTTAGCTTAATACACGGCAGATTACTCAATAACGCCATACATGCATATCAGCATCAACACACACTCCAAGCCATCGCCCGCATGTTAGAGAGGAGGAATGCATTGGTTGCCAGACAGGACCTCTTCGCCAGATTCAAAGGTGAATAAAAGATTGTTCACGTTTATTTCATAACGAATTCGAGCGTATGCCTATACAGAGGTTCCACGAGAAGGGATGGCACGAAAAGGGACTGAATGCCTGACAATGCGCCATTCCCGCCCAGACACAATATCGTGCATCACTCACCATGTCTATTTAAACAATGTATAAGCGAAATTGGAGCCTTAGGCTGGAAAAATTTTGAGCAAGAGATCACAGAAGGCCTTCATTGAAAATAAGAGAGGCACAGCCGATAGGGGGCTCCGCAATGCGTCGAGTGCCTATTCCGGGACACCATAAGTATCAGCCGCTAGCTTAACCCTCTAGACGAAGGCCTTTTGGGCTTGGAAGTCCGAGCAAACAAGCAGGGCCGCCTCACCTTCCTCTCTTCTCGCGTTGCGTTAGGGTTGGAGAGAAGAGCTGAGTTGAGCTGGCAATCCGAAACCATGTGGTATACGTGCGTTCCACCTCCTCACAGCATTGACACTTGCCAGGTAACGAAGAATCGAAATGTTTCAAGGCAACCTCTCGGCCTTCTATTAAATTTGCTCTCTCTGTATAGAAAATTGAAAGAAGATGGGTCATTGAGCCTTGTCGAGCCGGTTTTCAGGAAGAGGGTATTGACAATACCTATCTCCGGTTATAAGAAGTGATGCCATTATAAGAAGTGATGCCAGAAAAAGCCACCTTCGGGTTCGAGCTACTCGGGATCATGCCCGGTGAATAAGTACTCTGGCCATCGTGTTCTCGGCTTCATTCCTTTTTGCGCCTTGGTGTCTTGGAGTTCAGACTAGGCTACAGGTGGCAGGATCAATTTGCCTGTAGCTATAGTTGTGGAATATTCTGTCTGCTAGCCCGGTGACCTAACCAGCCTCACAATTATGAAAATCCTCCCCAACCCCTATGAATTTGTTATGATACGCTAAGGTCAAGGATCAGAGGCAGTGAGGTCAATAGCTACTTCCGCTTGTGTTGAGCGCAGTGTTTTGAAAGTGAGTTCATCTTCTTGCTTCTGCTCGTTGATGACGTCCATGAGAAAAAACGCTGCCACATACCACAACGAGCAGCATAGAAAGACCACACCCACATAGAAGTAAGATCACTAAACATATATTTCCCCGTGCGTGAACGTGTTTTCACCTTTGAGAGCGATGGTGCCACCATTTAGAAGCGGCAAGTCGACGTACTGTGCTCAAGCGCTGTGGAAGTGTGTCATCAAGGCGCAGCCATGACAGTGTTCGGCAAACAACACACGCATTCAAGGGGCTAGCGCGAAGCACATCATTTTCACGCGTTCGAGGTGCAAACTGCACTGTGTGCCTTTTGCATTTGTCAAGACACTGCGAAGTTGAACCAAGTTTCTCGGAGACAAGGATCACCATTCACTCCATGCACATGCGTTGAATATTTATTGCAATCTCAGCTGCTAATTTAGTTTTTTTTTTCCTTTTATTGCTTAATGATAGTCCCACTGCGGTGGTCTAGTGGCCAAGGTACTCGGCTGCTGAAACGTAGGTCGCGGGATCGAATACCGGCTAGAGCGGCTGAATTTTCGATAAAGGCGAAAATGCTGTAGGCTCGTGTGCTCAGATTTGGGCGATCGTTAACGAACCCCAGGTGGTCGAAATTTCCGGAGCCGTTCAATACGTCGTCTCTTATAATCATATGGTGGTTTTGGGACGTTAAACTCCACACATCAATCAATCAATCAATCAATATATGTAGATCCGTAGTCGAAAAAGGCCAAGCCAACGCAGTTCTAGACACAGTATATTTTCAGTATGTTTTCTTGTGCGATTAGTGGTCCTTTTCAGTGCACGGAGCACTAGCTTGGCCACAATATTTTGTGATATGTGGCAGGGAAGAGGCGTATACAGTCCCCGTTTGTCCTGAAAGTGAGTCTTTCGTGATGTATACGTTGATGTATACGTTGTACTCACGTAGTGAGTACGTGATGTATACGTTGATTTCACTGACTAGTATAAAAGCTTTGTGTTTCTAGGTGTTTTATATTGTCCCGTTCAGTTTGATTTTCTTTCAACCTTTCGTTAATGGCGCAGGTGGGTTTTTTCACTGCCGTGTAGAAGGCGTCATGATATAAGTATGAACGCAGGAACATCGACATATGCCGGACAAGCATATGGGCACTAAGGAGCATCACCCCTAATTTCACGAGTCAGTAATCTCTTTCAATGATTGATTGCAGCCAGTGCTATGCGATACTTGAAAGTGTGAGATCAAATAGCGCCAAGCAAAGCACCGATTACTCGATATGCTGATGTTAAAGAGCATTGGCACCGCGGTCTAAAAAGCCATTTATGCGCTAATGGACTCATCAGTCGACTCCCTCAGACTAACTTAAACTCAGATCGAGCCGTGAGTACGAGTCTGAGGAAATCCAAGTCAGGATTCTTGTGGCGAGTTTAAGTCCGGGTGAGTCGAGTTGAGAAGAACTCAGTGAGCCTGAGTCCGAAATTTCAGGTGAGTCTGTGTACAAGTGAGTTAAAAGGTCAAAATGTATTTCATGGGGAAGTCTGAGTGAGCTCCACATTTTCTCAACCTGTGCCAGTACTTGTCATATATGTTCATAATTTGTACGACTTAGATGAATGTTACCAGTTGACATTAACTGATGACCATTGAAGTTTCACTCGCAGCCTTGAGAGAATATGCGGTGAACCAGAAATTGATTGTCGCGGTCATATGACCGAAACAAAGGTTAAAATGAATTAGTTTTATTATAATTGGTGATTAGTTCATT